CAAATGCTGTCTAAATGTGCTTAATAACTAGGTCAGAATTTATGTGTAGTAATAATGCGTAGATGTGTATGCTGTATATAAATTTCGTCACATGTAAATCGTGGTACCTGAGCTTTATTGGCTTTTCCTACTTAAGCTTTTCGCTAATCTCCATTACTCCTTATTGTAAAGATGAATTGTCAAAGTGAGCTTTGGGTATAATCATGTGACATTTAGCAATTGAGGAGAAAGTCGGAAATATATACATTTTGGCGCTAACTCGGCTTTTTGTTCTTTTTATCAGAATAACACATTTTGCAAATTGTCATTTGTGTGGAAAATTAGGAACTGTTACACAGAATTAGAATGTTAACCACCTTATTATCACTTTAGCTCAAAGTTCTAATAAACGTTTTCGTATCTTTTTGTATATGGGTTAACTGGCTCCAAATGTCGAATCTCCAAAGTGAGCCCTTGTATTTACGCATGTACGCGACAATTATCTCGTATTGTGTGCTGGATCATCTTTTTGAATTTCAATCTGGGACCCAGCACGTGCGGGAGAAGTGCATTTAAGCGTCGACCAATCAAGACTGGTTCTGGGCACGTAAACCTCAAAGCGAATGGTAATAGGTTCGCTTGCAACGTCAAAGAAGTATTCTTAGCTTTAAGCATTTGGATAACATGCATAGTTAGTCTAATCAAATGGAATAAGAAAGATATGCGTTTTTTGAAGAGAATATTCCTGGTCATATCTATTGCCCAAAGTTTGGTAGAAAGCGTGTACGGTAACAATCTGAATAAATTTGCTGTTACGTATGTTTTCATAATGTAAAAATATTGCGCCGTTGTATTGAGCTTTAATTAAGAATAACCGCTTACGGCTACAATACGCCATTTAACGTAAGGTTTTATTAAAATAAATACTTGGCTATCGCAAGATTTTCAACACTATATCGATATAAGTATAGTGCTTCTGCCGAAAAGCAGTACCGTTACAGCCGCATGAAAAAGGAAAACTATTTTTAGAATAAGCTGTAATATTTTTTTTCCTATCAAAATGGCGTATTTACGGTAACGCATGTGAAAATATGACCGAAAATATAGTAGAATTAAAAATTCAGGCGCCGATGTTCGTCATTGTTTGACACTTTGTAATAGTAAGCGTCAAACAATTACCTGACATAGGGCCAGGTGACAAGCGACCAAAAAATTACGTCACAACCGTAAGGATTGAACTTTTCACAGTGATTTACAACTGTGAGTTTATTGTTTTGATGTAACCAATAAAATCAGCCTCGGACGCTGGCTGCTGCTAGGCGTTAATGAAGAATGGAACGAGCTAAACTCTATAGTTTAGAGATAACAGACGAGGGCTGTTCCATGTGCACAGATATTGCATATACAGTTTTGAACGGAGAGTCAGATAACTCAATTTATTTAAATTATAAAAGTTGTTCATTCTATGATCAGACTTTTTGTCAGACAAATGCGACGGTTTTTAAGAATATATAGATACCAGAGTTTTCATTCTCTCAGTTTGGCTCTCTGAGGACATCAGTTTCTTCGACGCATAAATTGTTATTTTCACCATCGTCCTCGTCCATCTCTTTTCAACCAACAAGTTTTATCTACATTTTTATTATACACAACAATATTTACGAAAGGGATATTGATGATTTGTGGACTCCCAGAAAAACTTTTGTTTTCGCAGTCCGCCAATGAGCCTGTTTGTCAATTTAAATGTAACGGAAAGTTTAACAAAGGATCGAAATCCGCAATCGCAGTTTGATTTACTAAGTACCAAGTTGTTAATTTGGAGGCGTATCACGCGACTTTGAGAGCTTTTGGGGACAAAGATAACAATATGGTATTTCATGCAAATGAGGATGCATCGAAATTTTATGCCTTGGGTGATGTCATTTTATCTTGGTCACACCCGTATCCGAAGACATAGAATGGAGAAAGATTATCCATTCAGAATCATTCACACAGTCTTTTTTACAAACAATACACTCACTCACAGAATGCGCGCAGCGTTCTAGAATACTGTTATGGTGGTCAATTATTTATAACAGTGTTTTCCGAAATGAAGCTCGCAATTTATTAGATTGACTTTTTGGGGAAGATATAAGTTTTATGGAGACTTTAAAGTGTATCTCCGAACCATTATAAACACTGCAACGAATTAGACAGGCTTAATTTGGAGAAATGGACAACGTACGAATTCTCTGCGGAGTTACTAGCCTTCGCTGAACAAAATGATATAACTGTACGGCAACTACTCCTCAAGAAATAGCAAATTTAATTAAGTCGTCAACGGTTATATAATACTGCAGGTTGGGTGAAACTTTGAGGAATTTGATGTTGACTTTGGGATACCTTATCAAGAACACCCAAACAAGACTAGGAAAATGTTTATAGTTTTTTATTTAGCAACTGACGCAAATCTCACTGTCGATTACCAAGAACATTCATTATGCTTGAGAATTTGGCATTGCCACGAATAAACGGTTTCACGGACGCTTCAGGCACTATTACGACTTTGCGTAAATTTGACATGTAAACCGTGCATTTAGAATGTAGCAATGATTTTTACGAACGAGCTGTTGAACCCTTTGAATAATATAAATAATGATGTAAAGTATATACAATGGGACATCCTTAAGAGAAATGTGCAAAAAACAAAAATAAAAAGCACAAAGAAAAAGACAAGTGAAGATAGCAATAATGTAGTTCGTATAAATCACTCGAGAACATTGCTGCATCGATCTACAATCGATCGACTGTGTACCATTGTACATACCCGCACGTGAATTGACGTACATATCAGAAGGTGCGTTTGTCTCAAAGATGCTTGATAAATCTTTCCCACAATTCTGCGTAATGATAATACTTTCATATGCTCTGACCAGTCGGTATACTTACGTTTCATCGTGCAGTACATTGCGATATCAGAATATGAACACGCCTAATTACATAACTGACATTTAGGGAGATACACCTTTAATGGAGATACTATAGATGGACTGAGAGCTAGCGTGCAATTACAGAAGAAAGAACGTGCAACCAATCAATAGGTCTCCTCATAAAACCGAAAGTTATTCGTGCACTTGGAGAGAGATTGTACTGGGGAGGTTCCCACTGTAATTGGCAGCAAAATCGATTTCTAGAATCGACCGAAAATATCACACAACATGTTGAGAATAATAAACAAATCTTTGATCAATCAGAATTTCATGTGAAAGAAAAAGATTTCGTAATTGTTTGAAGTTTGGCAAAGACCCAGATAATTACAAAACAAGCCCCTCCAGAAATATCCGTCAGGTAATTGTTTGACGCTTACAAATTGTCAAACAAGGAATAGTCTGGCACTTTTTGCGATTGCAATTCACAAAAAGGCGGTTCAGACTATTGTCCATGCTCAGGATGGATGATCGATCTAAAGGTAAATAGGAAACAGATATGCTCTTTTGGCATATGGTACAACGTGAATACGCCGAGGTAATGCAGCAAGTGTATGATATGGGCATCCTGATATCAGAATTTGATTTGCATCCATCGCAAACTGCAATGGCAATAAGATTTATTTCCCGAAAAACCCCGTTTCCTGTGAATACTTAATATCATTATTTCTGTTACAATTTGGGTATAAGTACGAGCGATAGGAACAGGATGCATGGAGATTGAGCATAATTTTTTTCATAAAAAGGACGCCGCTGCGAATGAAGTGTAGTACGGTAAACAATCTTGTTATTCAAAGAGAATCGACGTCAATATCAACGACTTAACTTTTCTTGTTATTCGTTCTAAGCCAATAAGAAGGTATTAACAAAAATACAGTAATTATAATAGAAAAAAGTTTGCAGTCTATCGATTAACGATTAGCGTTATAGTCTGTGATATAAACAAAGAATATTTTTCGTAAAAAAGTGTGCGTATGTATAAAACAATACATTGGTCATCTATATAATATTCTCGGGAGTTAAAATTCTATACTAATACCGAAATTAAACCTTTTGTCTCTTTTGTTGACATGCTGTAATTAAGAAATACTTGTTTGCTATTTTAATTTTAACCTGATTAATATGGGAAAAACTGATCAAATTATGACGAAAACACTATGAAAGAAATAACACGAAGAAAAGAAATCTATTCCGCTATAAAAGCGCTCCTCTAATCTCGGGATGGAGATGTAAGGTTTATTGTGAAGATCTACGTAGGAAATTTCTATAACCGAGTATTTGTGAGTTAGACGGTTTTAGTTAGAAAAATCGACTTTGCCACGAATGAAATCAAAAGCAGTTAGTGGTAACACGCACAGGTGATGGCGACGGAGTAATTGTGCTTTGTGAAAAGGTCTTCGTCACACTGTTCGACTAAATGTACCTCCCGGTTTCTGTTTTTTAGCTATTCTTTACTCTTGCGAGCACTAATGACAAAAGCTGACAATGTTACTAGCGAATGGTCACCTTCATCGTGGCGACCGAAACCAATAGCGCAATCTGTCAAATATGAAGATCAAAAGCACGAGAAACAAGTTGAAGATAAACTAAAGCAGTTACCGCCTATGGTTACACCTAGTGAGGTATGACGTACTGTTATAAAAGAGACGCACACCAGTTTGAGAATTTTATTCTAACATGTCAATGTGTTTAATTTCAGATAAGAAGGCTCAAGGAACAACTCAAACAAGTTGCCCTTGGCGAAGCCTTTCTATTGCAAGGCGGTGACTGTGCCGAGTTATTCGAATATTGTTCACAGGTTGGTGTGACATTGCTGATTAGCTTTCACCAGCAATGTATTAATTTCGATCTTTTAGGAACCGATCGAATCTAAACTGAAAGTGCTGCTGCAAATGAGTTTGGTTCTTACATGGGGTGCACGCATTCCTATTGTACGTATAGCTCGCATGGCTGGTCAATATGCCAAACCGAGATCAAGTCCGACTGAAATGGTCAACGGTCAGGAAGTCATATCGTTCAGAGGAGAAAACATTAATGGATTTGATCCAGCAGATAGAAAACCGGATCCTGACAGACTCTTAAAGTAGGTTATTGGCAAATCACGCTCTACACGCGTATAGTTTTTGCGTGCCGTATTAAAAGCATGACTTTATTGTATCTTAGGGCTTATTTTCATTCAGCCGCAACTATTAATTACGTGAGATCAATAATAAGCTCCGGGTTTGCAGGTACCTTTTTCTCAAAGCTTATAATGTGCATATAGCAACACAAGTAGAGCCTCAGATAGAGCCCATATTTTCAATCAGCTCAAAAATTTACATACTAATACTGCTTGTCAATTAGATCTTCATCATCCTTCACAATGGTCTCTTCATCATGTTCGCTCAGAAACGATTCGTCAAGAATATTCACACATTGTCGATAGGGTGACTGATTCATTAAGTTTTATGCACACTATTGGTGCTGTCTCTTCACCTCCTCTGGCTTCTGTCGATATATTTATGTCACATGAGGGTCTTGTATTACCGTACGAGGAATGCTTAACAAGAAAACTGAAAGATCCGGTAACGGACGAATTCAAATGGTACAACGTTAGTGCTCATTTCTTGTGGATTGGAGATCGAACGCGACAGCTAGCTTCAGCCCATGTCGAGTATTTTAAAGGAATAGAGAATCCGATTGGTATCAAGGTCGGTCCCAGCATGAAAGCGGATGAATTGGGTCAATTTTTGGATGTGGTTAATCCAAAAAAAGAAATCGGAAAAGTAACTTTGATTACTAGATATGGAGCTAAAGAGGTAATGACGATATTTGTGTTTTTGTATAGTGCCAATTATAATAGACAGCGATGGTGGCCGGGAGTAAAGATGTTAATTTAGAATCTAATATGGTTTCAAATTTAAAGGTGGATAAGCATCTTCCTGGACATATCGAGGCTGTAAAAAAATCAGGACACGTAGTTGTTTGGGCTTGTGATCCGATGCATGGAAAGTGAGTTGTTTTTATTGAATCGAAGAATACGTAAAGTCTGATTATTAAGTCAATTCTTATCATTAGCACAGAGAAGTCTTTATCGGGTGTAAAAACACGATATTTTGATTCGATAATCGAGGTACGGCGAAAACCAAAATGATATTTTTATGTACTGCTACCGTGAAGCTGACTTTTCTCTTCTATAAAAGGAGCTTTCAAGAACCATACGCATCCATAAAGCACACCGCAGCCGAATGAACGGCGTGCATTTTGAATTGACCGGGGATCGAGTTACAGGTACTTTAGTCATGACAACTTGTTCATTTTATTCGATAACAATATTCATGTTTATTGCATTATTCTTGTAGAATGTATTGGGGGATCAATGGAATTAGCGGATGAGGATTTGTCACAGAACTATAAGACTTACTGTGACCCAAGACTGAATTACGAGCAGAGTATGGATATTGCATTTCTAATTGCGAGATACTATGAAAAAGAAAGAAAGGGATTGCCAAGCATATGAAATATAATAGAAACAAAAATATCTAATGGCGTAGATAGTAATTTATAAATCTTTTATATTTCGCAGAAGACATAATACTAGATATCTCTCCTCAATCTTAAGTGAGTAGCATCAATGTACTGTCTATGTAACTAACGTATTATATAATAGTCGGAAGCCATAGTGCATATTGCACTTCTAAACATTGCGCGTAGTTGTAATAAAAAAAAAGAAATATGTATTATGGCAAGTTAACGCGTTCAGCGCAAATCATCGGGTTTCAGGCTTTTGTCCGAGTCGACTACCAGGTGATATTCATGCAACGTTATGCGGGAAAAGGAATGGCAGAAATTGGAAGAGTAGGAGTTTTACGTGTCTAAACAAGGCGCGTATGTATATGTTCATATTTTGGATTGTTAACCTTATTATATAATATTAATATTAAACCTCGTTATCACTAAATAATCAGTACTATAATGCTATTTTGAATCGGAGCAATTTATTTCCTTAAACAGACGAATAAATTTCGATTTATTGATGAGAATGACCAATGAAATAGTGAACCGTTTTACCTTGATATTTTATAGCGCTGTTTGTTTGGCAAGTATATTTATTGTGACAGATGAAGCTGAAATCGGATTAAACCGGTAACTTTTTAGATTATTTTTTTTTTGAATTGGGCTAGAATTTATGGTAATGTTTGATAATAGAAGAGTATGTGAAGCTTTAAAGGTGCCCCAAAAATCGTTTTCGTTTTACTCTGCCACATTTATTACGCCGACTTACTATCCAAATGAGATAATCTAGCCAAGGTTTCAGTGAACTATTAGAGCTCACGAAACCCACCAACGTTTTAAAACTGATTTAAAACATAGTTTTAACGTTCAAGAAGCAAGCGTTAAAATTCTTGAAAAATCTAATATTAATTTTATTTTATTTCGGTTTGCCTAATAGAATACTTATTCGCATTACGCCTGCGTCATTTAAACCTCAGTCACGAAATTCAATCATCGTCATTATTTTCAAGAGCAGTGTCGTCATCCACACCCGAGTTGCCTGACGTCGATCCAACTGTAGCAATAGATTCATGGGTTGCAGTCTGACGACTGTACTCGGGCTTCAAATGATAGAAATTGCCGTACGTTCCTTCTTTATCTAAAGTAGCGATCTCGCTCAAAACTTCTTCTAAATAGGACTTCAATATGCTCAGTAGATTAGTAAAATTCCACACAGACAGATATACGTACAGACGTTTGTATATATACATTACATAATGACAATATGAACAGCATATATTACCTCTGGTTGTTTGACATAAGTCTTTAATCCTATTAGCGACCAATATGCGTACAACTCAAACGCATTGAATAATAAATCAATAAGTTCGTTCTTTGGCATACGAGTTGTCTTTTGCTCGATTGAAACTTGTTGATTTAGCTGCAAACGTATAAGTAAACATCCGCGTTTGAGTAGATTACGCAAAGCCGTCAACCCCCAATTGCACGCAACAAACACACCACTGGATTGCCAAACTTGGTAATCGCAGCGCCGGATGATCCAGAGGCGCGATTCTCATTCTCATCCATCATCTGCTTAGGTTATCCAGCGCTCTCGTAGTAATCACCGGCTAATATGTTTTGTAAGGCAGTTATGACCGCCAAAGACACACTATACAATAAAAACGTACTTGTGCAAACTCGTCAAATGACAGAGTATTCGAGGAGAATTTATCTTAATAAGGTGTTTCCAAGGAGGCCCCGTTATTGGATAATCCCGTGATGTGCCACCCCTTTTTTATCATGTATTTAAACTCTTACGTGTGATCAGAAATCTACATTTTAAAATGGAAGAATTACAAAGTCTGATCCTTTCTACGCTCGATAAAGAGAACACCATTCCCGATACTGGAAAGCTTACGAATGCGGAAGGAAAACCGCTGGATCAGCTGGCTGTGTATGCAGCGCTCAACAGTTTGGCTCTCAAAGAGGTTAGCGTTGTGTTTATAGATGAATATCGCTGGAATTCGAACAAGTTCCTCTAAATTCTTGATAGTCTTCATTACCCAATGGAACGGCTATATAGATGATCGTTTTTGATGCACTCGAGAGTGAAAGATGGACATTAACGACAGAGGGTAAGGAGATGGCGAACGCTGGGAGTTACGAAGTAAAGGTCTTTGAAGCGATTCCTTCCGGAAAAACTGGAATTTCAATATCAGAGCTACAGGTACCGTATCTTGCCGTGGAACTTGCTATTAATCTGTTCTCATTGATCTGTCTGACAGGAACGCTTGGGTGAGGCTGCAAAAATCGGTCAAGGAAAAGCTTTCAAGAATAAATGGATCACAAAGAAAGATAACAGACTTTTTCGGGCCGTAAGTTGGAGATTGTTTCGATTCTACGTATGCTCATTCATGAAATCTCATTGATTTATTTATACCTCGCGAGTAGGTAGAGTCTGTTGTAGATCAAACGCGTCTAGACCTTGAGACTATCTTGACAACAAATGCGCATCCCGATAAAAAAGTTCTTACCGAGCTCAAAAGGAGGAAATTATGCGACAAAATGTACGTTTTACTTTCGCTAGCATAACTGCTTTACCAACGGATTCTTACTTTACTTCTATTTTATTAGCAAGCTTGTTTCTTATTCCGTTTCCAAGGGACCTAAATTCTCGTTAATCGTAGAAAAGTATGCTACAGATGTAACGGCCGAAATGCTCCAAAGGTATATAATATATATACGTATGTGTGTTTTTTTATATAGGGAGCAAGTTTCCATTATTATTTGGGACTTTCGTTATTCAAAACAACCTAATAATCGTCATCTAATGACTGCTCTTTGTAGCGGGGAGTGGAAAACTGCTCAGTTCAAAAAGTACAACTTTGAAGCCTTGGGTGTACCTCCATTGGGTGGCCATTTGCATCCATTGATGAAGGTTCGCGAAGAATTTCGTCAGATTTTCCTTGAAATGGGGTATGACCGCGTGTTAATTGCATGTATTTAACCACTGAATTCTACAATAGCCCTAACGTATGACATTTGATAACAACAAAAAAAAAGGTTTGAAGAAATGCCTACAAATAGATTTGTCGAATCATCCTTCTGGAACTTTGATGCGCTTTTTCAACCACAGCAACATCCTGCACGTGATGCTCACGACACCTTCTTCTTAAAAGGTAAAGGATATGTGACAAAAAATCAAGCAGGTGGTGTGATTTCTGTCATTTATTATAAAGTCTTATCGGGCTAACTACTTCATCGTTGCAGATCCTTCAACGAGCACAAAGTTTCCGGCAGGCTATTTGGAACGTGTAAAACGAGTTCATTCTGTGGGAGGCTACGGATCGATTGGATACGGATACGACTGGCAGATAGAGGAAGCAGAAAAACTCATACTGCGCACACACACGACAGCAGTGTCTTCTGCTATGCTATACAAACTAGCGCAACAAAAGGAGTTTCGACCTGCCAAGTATTTCTCAATCGATAGAGTGTTTCGTAATGAAAGTGTCGACGCAACGCATTTGGCAGAATTTCATCAAATAGAAGGTGTCATAGCTGATAAAGGCCTAACGTTAGGGGATCTAATTGGATTCATGAACACCTTTTTTGGGAAAATGGGTGTGTACATGAACCAATGCACTATATTTTTTTTCTTCCTATTTAAAATGGAAATTTGCCTAATCGTAATAATTTGATACAGGTGTCAAGGATCTTCGTTTTAAGCCTGCATATAATCCATATACGGAGCCGAGCATGGAAATCTTTTCTTATCATTATGGTATTCCGTCGTTTGGTTATCCTAACCTGATACTTCTCTTTTGATTTCTAAAATTCTAATCTCTCTTACCTGTGGGCCTCTCTAGGACTTAAGAAATGGGTTGAAATAGGTAATTCAGGAATGTTCCGTCCGGAAATGTTAGAACCTATGGGATTAGATCCAGATGTACGCGTGATAGCCTGGGGTTTAGGTTTGGAAAGACCAACGATGATCAAGTATGGAATTGATAATATTCGAGAGGTAAATATGATTTATCAAATTTTTAACTCGCGACTTGACGTATAGCAATAACGTATGATCCTTTCACTAGCTACTCGGCCATAAAGTCAACCTTGCCATGATTCAAAGTAATCCAATCTGCCGACTAGATAAAAAGATGGGGAAAGAAGCTCATGCGGAGGAAGAAGAAGAAGTTAATTCTAAAGAATCTGTAGTTCATTAAGACGATTGCTGTATAATATAAAATGAAACTGGAGTAGGGAAATGAACAAAAGGATGCTGATGCGTCAACTTACTATACAAGCTGAAAATAAATGGCCGTCTATCATCTTTTGATTTAATTTAATCATGACCTAAATAATATAGGCAAAAGCGTTTTGTGATATTTCGTCGATATTCTCACTTCAAGCTAGACAATATCGTCATAGACTTAATCACGTTCCCTTGGAACTTTCAATCGACTAAATCAAGAGTATATCCACAACGTATTTCTAGAAAACGAAGCGATTAAACCTGCTATTGCTTTTTCTTTCCGTCCACATTTATATTTGTATATGCCATACTTTATTATGTGAAAAAAATCAAAATTTTTGATTGGTCAAACATAACTTACTATTTATATTCATGATTTGTTTGACATTTTACAGATGACTGAGTGTATACAGATGCTTTTTATCGTAGTGTAGCTAGTCAAAAGCTTATTACTAATATTTAACCGTTGAATTTCAAACCGAACTTCGAGATTCTCCAAAGTTTTTCTCATTTCAACTTCAAGAATCTCCAATCTTTTTGAAATCCCCTCTACATCTTTTTGTTGGGGTCCAATTAATTCAAGAAGTTTTTCTAGTGTTATTTTTAGAGTTATAAGAATCTGTCGAGTTTCAACAAATTTAATTAAATCTGAAACAATTCAAATTCATTTGTCAATAACATATTGAATTCAGATGTTGAAACTTGACGATTGTCCCTTTACTGCTATCAAAATTCCGATAGCAATGTTTCCGAGAACTCCTTCGAGTTGTCGAACAACACCGGGAACAAAATCTGTCAATGGATCCACAATAAGGTGGTCTGTGAGAATGCTTGCAGCAATACACAACCAAAGTCCAGCCAAACACATAATAAGTATTGGACAGTTACAGGCTTTTCTTTATACTATATATAATTAAACAAAAAAATTTTTAAATTAATACAAGAAAGACATGGAGTATTCATTTTTCCAAGAGTATGTCATTGCAACCTACTTGAGTTAAAAGTATAGACACGTGCTTTTGGAACTGATGAAGACTGAGCAGCTGTGGTTGTTTTGCGTTTTTATTTTTTGCCTTTTACGCCGTTCATTTTGCTCCGAAGTTCGGTTAGATTTTGTTCGAGCATTAGACTCTCTTTTCAATCTACGTCTTCGTTCAATTGAGGTTTCGCTAACGTTATCCATAATCATAATAATAAAAGTGTTGATATTAAGGCATCGCAATTGTAAACAACAAAGGCGTCGCGGTTATAAACAAAAAATGATGAACATGTGATGGTCATCTATTGGATAATTTTGTAACACGAATATGCAATATCCGTCCACGTTTTATAATATCGATACAGTGAACCCTCCATTCAAGCACGCCCTCGGGAATGCGTCAGAGCGTGCTTGAATAGAGGGATGCATGAATAGA